CACACGCTGGAATCAAGATTGCCAGGAGAAATATCAATAATCTCAGATATGCAGATGACACCAGCCTTATGGCAGGAAGTGAAGAAGAACTAAAGAGCCTTTATATGAAAGGGAAAGAGGAGAGTAACAAAGTTGGCTTAAAACTCAACATTCAGAAAACTAAGGTCATGGCATCTGGTACCATCACTTCATGGCAAATAGATTGGGAAACAATGGAAACAGTGAGAAATTTTATTTTCTTGGGCTCCAAAATCACTGCAGATGGTGACTACAGCCTTGCTCCTTGGAAGAAAAACTATGACCAACCTAGGCAGCATATTAAATAGCAGAGACATTACTTAGCTGACAAAGATCCATCTAGTCAAAGCTATGGTTTTTCCAGGAGTCATGTGTGGTTGCGAGAGTTGGACTATGAAGAAAGCTGAGCGCTGAAGAATTGATGCTTTTGAACTGTGGTGTTGGAGAAGATCTTGAGAGTCCCTTGGTCTGCAAGGAGATCCAACGAGACCATCCTAAAGGAAATCAGTCCTGAATATTCATTGGAAGGACTGATGTTGAAGCTGAAACTCCAATACTTTGGCCACCTGATGTGAAGAACTGACTCGTTTGAAAAGACCCTGATGCTGGGAAAGATTGAAGGTGCGAGGAGAAGGGGAAGACAGAGGATGAGGTGGTTGGATGGCATCAGTGACTTGATGGACTTGAGTTTGAGCAAGCTCCAGGAGTTGGTGATAGACAGGGAAGCCTGGCATGCTGCCGTCCATGGGGTCGCAGAGTCAGACACGACTAAGCAACTAAACTGAACTGAATGTATATGTTTCAGTGCTACTCTTTCAATTTTTCCCGCCCTCTCCTTCCCCTTCTGTGTCCAAAGTCTGTTCTCTGTGTCTGTCTCTATTTCTGCCCTGCAAATAGGTTCATCAGTACTATTGATTTCTAGATTCCATATATATGCATTAATATATGAAATTTGTTTTTTCTTTCTGACTTATTTCACACTGTATAACGGGCTCTAGGTTCATCCATCTCACTAGAACTTACCCAAAGGCATTCCTTTTTATGGCTGAGTAGTATTCCATTGTATATATGTACTACAACTTTATCCATTCATCTGATGATGAACATCTAGATTGCTTTCATGTTCTAGCTATTGTAAATAGTGCTGCAATGAATATTGGGGTACATGTGTCTTTTTTCAACTATGGTTTTCTCAGGGTATATGCCAAGTAGTGGGATTACTGTGTCATATGATAGTTTTATTACTAATTTTTTAAGGAATCTCTATGCTGTTCTCCATAGTGACTGTATCAGTTTCCACCAACAGTGCAAGAGAGTGCCCTTTTCTCCACATGCTCTTCAGCATTTATTATTGGTAGTTTTTTGAAAATGGTCATTCTGACCAGTGTGAGGTGATACTTCATTGTAGTTTTGGTTTGCATTTCTCTAATAACAAGTGATGCTGAACATTTTTTCATGGGTTTGTTTTCAATATCTGTGTCTTCTTTGGAGAAATGTCTGTTTAGGTCTTCTGCCCACTTTTTGATTGAGTTGTTTATTTTTCTGGTATTGAGCAGCATGAACTGCTTACATATTATGAAAATTAATCATTAGTTGCTTCATCTGCAATTATTTTCTCTGATTCTGAGGGTTATCTTTTCATCTTGTTTATAGTTCCCTTTGCTGTGAAAAGGCTTTTGAGTTTAAATATGTCCCACTTGCTTATTTTTGTTTTTATTTGCATTACTCTAGGAGGTGGGTCAAAGAGGCTATTGCTGTGATTTTTATCAAAGTGTGTTTTGCCTGTGTTTCCCTCTGTTTTATAGTATCTGGCCTTACATGTAGGTCTTTAATCCACTTTGAGTTTATTTTTGTGTATGGTGTTAGGAAGTGTTCTAATTTCATTCTTTTATACACAGCTGTCCAGTTTTCCCAGCATCACCTATTGAGGAGGCTGTCTTTTCTTCATTGTATATTCTTGCCTCCTTTGTCAAAGATAAGGTGCCCATTGATGTGTGGGTTTATCTCTGGGGTTTTTATCGTGTCCCATTGATCTGTATTTCTGTTTTTGTACCAGTGCCATGCTGTCTTGATGACTGTAGCTTTGTCATATAGTCTGAAATCAGGAAGCTTGATTCCTCCAGCTCCATTCTTTTTCCTCAAAATTGCTTTGGTTATTTGGGATCGTTTGCCTTTACATACAAATTGTTAATTTTTTTGTTCTAGTTATGTGAAAAAATGCCACTGGCAATTTGGCAGGGATTGCATTGGATCTGTAGGTTTCTTTGGGTAGTATAGTCATTTTCACAATATTGATTCTTCCAATCCAAGAACACGATACATCCCTCCATCTGTTTGTGTCCTCTTTAATCTCTTTCAGCAGTGTCTTATAGTTTTCTGTGTACAGGTCTTTTGTCTCCTTAAGTAGGTTTATTCCTAGATATTTTATTCTTTTGGTTGCAATGGTGAATGGGATTGATTCCCTAATTTCTCTTTCTGATTTTTCATTGTTAGTATATAGGAATGCCAGGAATTTCTATGTATTAATTTTATATCCTGCAACTTTAGTAAATTAATTGATTGGCTCTAGTAATTTTCTAGTGGTATCTTTAGGGTTTTCTGTGTATAGTATCATGTCATCTGCAAACAGTGAGAGGTGTACTTCTTTTGCAGTCTAGATTCCAAAAAGGATGAATTTTTAAAGTAATACTCTCATACAGCACAACAGCAGGTAGATTGTATTATTGTTGTTATTCAGTAGCTAAGTCATGTCTGACTCTTTGTGACCCTATGGACTGAGGCACACCAGGCTTCCCTGTGCTTGACCATCTCCTGGAGTTTGGTCAGATTCATGTACATTGAGTCACTAAAACTTATCAATGCTGCAATGTACTGGAGGTAGAATGAGTGGAATAATTTCTCCCAAACATATCATGTGCTAAGGCCTGGAACCTGTGAGTGTTGCCTTCTATGGAAAAAGGGAGATAGGGAGGTTATCTTGCTTTATCTTGATAGGCTCTAAATGTCATCACAAGTGACCTGGAAGAGAGAGGTGGAAGAATCTTAGACACAGAAGAGGAGAAAGCAGTGTGGCCCTGGAGGCACAGATTAGAATTATGTGGCCACAAGTCAAGGACCATAGTCAGCCACCAGATACTGCAAAAGAGAAAGGATTCTCCCCTAGAGCCTCCTGAGGGAATATGGTCTCCCTAAAATATTCATTTAGCAGTCCTAGGCTTGGAACTATGAGAGAATAAATTTTGACTATCTTAAGCCATAAAATTCCTGGTAATTTGTTATAGCAGCAGTAAGAAACTAATAAGTACTAGTTATATATTCATGGTACTTGACTCTGGCTTATTTTTATTCTTTGAACAACATTCTAGGGAAACAAGAAACAAAGCTAATGCATATTTTTAAAAATGGAAACTAATGCTACTAGTTTAGTAATATATAGTTTATTTATTTATTTACTTATTTTTTGCAGGATTTCAGGCACCTTTATTCATGGCAGGTATTTTTGGTCAGGGGAGTTTCCTCTGAAAACTTCCTTTTACTTAAGGAAGCCAGCTCCTCACACCCGACTGCCCACTTGCCATCTCCCAGGCTTGGAAGCACCTGGATGAGCTCCTGTCCCGCCCCAGCATGCTCTGGGCTTTCAGGGCCAAACCCACAGCAGGACCCACCAGCCCAGTGAAGGGCTTTCTGCAGCTCGGGGCTAACAGTGGGGAATCCATCTTGTCCAGAAGAAACTGAATCCTTTGTGCTCCCCGGATACTTTATAAACAGGACACATTATTCCTTAATCTTACTATACATTTCCAATACAATTAAGACTGGTGACATAGGAAACTTTAAAAAAATCATACTGTGTTGACTATGGGCTTTCCTCTCCATAACACTATTTCATTCCTCAACTTCTTCCATTTTCTCTACAAAATCACCCTGCTGCGACAGTCACGTGGTTCCCCTTCCTGTCAACACTGCCTCTGGGATCAAAACTCCTGATACACTCAGCTGAGCAGCATCATCAGGAATAAAGCCACTGCTCTGCTTGAATTCAGGTGGGAACAGTATAAAGCAGCAGTGTTTCTTAAAAACTCAAGCCTACTACAAGTTATTTATCACCTTCTAGCCAAACAACTGGCTTGGGCTTAACATGGTCTGTTTTCCTCTTCTGTTTCTTTTACTGGCCAGTAGCTCAAAAGATGGGAGTAACTGAGTTGTACAATCCTGCCAGATTTCCTATGGTAATGACTGTGAATGGACAATGTAGGGTCCGACTGAAGAATTCAAATCTCATGCAAAACTCTAACTACTGCAAGCCTCATCACATCAGGCAACTCTGTCATTTTCCGTATTTAAAAATTCTAACACTAAAGTGGCAGTGGTCACTCTAAGTTACTGTGGCATCTGGCCTCAGGGACTCAGATATAAGATTGTGGTTCAGTTCAGAGTTTTGGCAACACAGTAGTGCCAGATATTCCGAATACACAATTTTAAATGTTTTTAACCACTTGAAAAGTATCACCAACACACTATTTGGTGTTCACTCAATGGTTCACTCTGAGAATCAAAGAACCTTGACTATAAATGCCTTACTTCACAAAATCTAATTATAACCAAGAGTTTACTCTATGTCTAATAGAAAAATCACGCAGCAACTTCTATCAAATAGCAACTACTACAAAGGGAATGACAGAAAAAAAATAACCTCACGAAAATACACTAGAAAGTTGGATGACTGTATGCAGGAACTGCCAAAGTTTTAGTGTTTAATAGCACAACTGACCAAGGTCCAAGATGTGAAGTCACCATGTTTAGGAAACATGGGGGGCAGGGGAGGGAAGTCACTCCATAAACTAACTCTATAGTATGTGGTAAGAAGAATGCACACTTTATAATATAAAACCTGTCTACACATAGTAGTTAGTTGAAAAAGCCATCTGTCTCCTCTTGGCTTGTAAAAAGGTGTTCCAGATTCCAGCGAAGACAAGCAACCTTCAGCTCTTCTGTGTGGCCGGGATCTTGTTCTCACCGTCCAGCTCTTCCACCCCGGCCTGCGTCATGAGGTCTGCTATGTTCTCCAGGTCATCAATGCGACTGCTCATATCATCAATTCTTCCAATGATCTGGTCGGACATGGTCTGAAATTTATCTTGCATCTGTTGCAGGAGTGTCTGCACCACTGAGGTGAGATCCTGCACGGTCTTGGGGTCAGTCTCGGCCATCTCCCCGGTGTCCAGCTTGGCGGTGCTGCCTCAGACCTTCACCTATACTTCCGTTTGTTCGCGCCTAGTTTAGTAATATATACTGTTTAAAGAGGCATGCTGCAGTCCATGGAGTCACAAAGAGAAGGACATGACTGAGCAACTGAACTGAACTGATAATTCATATACCATAAAATTCACTCTTTTAAAATATAAAATACAAAATATACTTTGTTATGTATATTAAAAAATTTATAGAACCATTACCACTATCAAATTCCAGAATATTATCATCACCATCTTTGCCCAAACAAACCATATTCCCATTAGCCATCACTCCCAATCAGTCCCTTATCCCAACCCTCGGCAATCACTAGTCTACTTTTTGCCGGTATGAATTTGCCTTTTCTAACATTTGATATATTGAGTCAAGCAATATGTGCATTTTTTTCTCTGGCTTCTTTCACTTAGCATAATATTTTCAAGGTTTCAATGTATTTAAACATGTAGTGTATTTCAGTTTCATAACTCACCTCTTTCTGTGGTTGAATAATATTTCACTGTATAGATATACCACATTTTGTTTATTCCTTCATCAGCTGACAAACACTTGGATTAGTTATACTATTTGGTTATTAGGTTCTATAACATTCATCTGTAAGTTTTTATGTGGACATATTATTTCATTTCTCTTGGTTGTATACTTAAGATTGGAGTTGCTGGAGCATATGGTAACTCGATATTTAAGTTTTTGAAGAAATGTCAAACTTTTCTAAAGCAACTGCATCATTTCATATTTCCACTAGCAATGTATGAGGGTTTGATTTCTATGCATCTTTGCCAATACTTATTGTCTCTCTATTTGATAGCTATTCTATAGTATGATGTGGCATTTCATTGTGGTTCCAATTTGCATTTCTCTCATGATTAATGACATTGACCAGTATTCCATCTACTTGTTGGTCATTTATATATTTTCTTTAGTGAAATGTCTATTCAAATTACTTGGCTATTTTTTTTTATTGGGTGGTTTGTCTTTTTATTTTTGACGTGTAAGTATTCTTTATATTCTAGACGCAAATTTCTTATCAGATATATGCTTTACAAATATTTTCTTTCATTCTATGGGTCGTCTTTTAACTTTCTCTTTTTTTTTAGTGTAAAAGTTTTTAACTTTGGTGGTCTAATATATCTTTGTTTTTCTTTTGTTGCTTGTGCTTTTGGTGTCATATCTAAAAGTGAAAGTAAAAGTCGCAGTTGTGTCCAACTTTTTGCGACCCCATGGACTATAGAGTCCATGGAATGCTCCAGGCCAGGATACTGGAGTGGGTAGCCATTCCCTTCTCCAGGAGATCTTCCCAACCCAGGGATCACAACTAGGTCTCTCGCATTGCAGGCAGATTCTTTACCAGCTGAGCCACGAGGGAAGCCCAAGAATACTATAGTGGGCAGCCTATCCCTTCTCTAGTGGATCTTCCCCACCCAGGAATTGGACTGGGGTCTCCTGCATCGCAGGTGGGTTCTTAACCAGCTGAGCTACCAAGGAAGCCTGTCATATCCAAAAAGCCAGTGCCTAAATCAAGGTCACAATGATTTGTGCTTATGTTTTCTTCTAAGAGTTTTATAGTTTTAGTGCTTACATTTGGTTCTTTGGTGAATTTTGAGTTAATTTTTGAATATGATATGAGGTGGGTCAAAAATGGCAACCTACTCTAGTATTCTTGCCTGGAGAATCCCATGGACAGAGGAGCATAGCAGGCTATATAGTCCGTGGGGTCGCAAGAGTCAGACACGACTTACTGACTAAACTACCACCACCATCATGAGGTGGGTCTAACTTCATTCTTTTACATATGGATATGCTTTTGTCCCAGCAAAATTTTTTGAAAAGACTACTCTTGTGCCATTGAGTTTTCATGGCACCTTTGCCAAAAATCCGTCCGTGTAAGGGTTTATTTCTGGACTCTGAACTCTATTCCAATGGTATACATCCAACTATGCCAGCACCGCGTTGTCTCGATCACTGTAAATTAGTAGTAAGTTTAAAGTCAGGAAATGTCAGTTCTCCAACTTGTTTCTTCTTTTCCAAGATTGTTTTGACTATCCCGGGTCTCTAAAATTTCCATGTTAATTTTCTAATTTCTAATTTCCATGTAGAATTAGCTTGTCTACTTATTCCACAGAGCCAACTGGGGAATTTCCCAAAATTACATTGGATCTATAGATCAATTTGGGGCATATTGCATCTTGACAATATCATGTCTTCCAATCTATGAACAATGGGTACCTTTCAATTTTTTTAGGTCTTTAATATGTCTCAATGGTGTTTCCTGCTTTTCAGAACACCTCTTGCTTTTCCTTCGTTTTTTTTTTATCCTATGTATTTTATAATTTTTATAATATTGTAGTTGGAATGGTATCTATTTTCTCAGTGTGTTAATTGTGAATTATTTGATGAACCATTTTGATGGGTTTGTATTGCATGATATTTTAACTGTCATGCTTCTATGAAAAAAAATGACATCACAACTTTGAACAAAACAATTTTATGTGAAAGGCCAGACAGGCTATTTTGGCATTGTTCTGTTGCTACTTACATGCTAAGTTCATACTTTAACCCAGTGTATCCCAAACTTCATCATCTTCCTTTCTGCCTTCATGACTTGTCATATCTCCATGGCATTTAATATAGTTTAAAAAATATAATCAGTTTTTAAACTTAAATAAATTTATCTAAAAGGAAATTTTATATCAAAGATTTAGGGAGCAAATACATAAATCATTTCTAATATGTATTACTATAAATTTTTATTATTAAAATTTTTTTTTTGTACTCCCTAAAATTATTTTTAGACAATGACAAGTTTGCTACTCTTTGGGAATCTCTGCTATAACCACCTTAATTTACTGGATAAAATAGAAATTTCCCTAAATTTTATTTTAAGGTAGCTAGGTTATCCCTTTGTGACATGAAGCAGAGATTTAGAGTCATTATTAGAACACCTAGACAAAAAACAAGAGTAATTCTTCTAGTTCTTCATTTTTTTGCCTAAGGAGTAGCTAAAGGATATGTTTCAGTTAGTGATACTCTCATGAATAAAATCTGCTCTCATTCAATGCTCCATAGATTACATCATGCTGCTATCTGATAAATAGAAATAATTTCCTTCTAGAGGGTAGAGACTGTGTATTTAACTTGCCTCATACAGCATGCAGCATAACATTATGTTCATTTGGGCACTTAATAAATGCAAGTTGATGATATAATGCATTTGTTAATCACCAATCATCCTGAAAAATAATGATGTCCCCAGAGCTGATGGGTCCACCCCAGAGTTTTCTTATTGAGGGTGGAACATTATGAGAGGCCTCCACTTAAAAAGAAACAGTAGAAAACTTGTTCAGCTTTTCAACAAAAAGAGGGAGCTTTTGTCCTTGATAATTAAATTTCTTTTCAAAGTTAAGAATTACCTGAGTGTTTATTTAAATTAGAGAATAATAATATTTTTTTAAATAAAAATTTAAACATTTTATCCAGAAAAGAAAGCACTTCATCTCTCTGGATTTTTAAACAAGTTTTCAATAGAAACCAGGCCACAGGATCCTTGGCGCTAAGAATTAGTTAAGGGTTAAGAGGTAGGGAAACACACTCTGGGCTATCTCTTGATACGAGAGTGTTGATATATTTAGAGAAACACCAAAATTAGCATTATTTCACTCTTCCATTTACCTGCAAGCACTTCTGCCTCAAACTGCCAGTTAAGCATCTGTGAAGCTAGGGACAATCTTCAAAAAGGGAAGGCCTTTATTTTATATTATTTTTTAAATCAGTATTGCCATGGTCTAGCAGTGGGAGAGCTAAAAGATTAGCTATATTCTTACTAGTTACTGCTAGAAATACATGATTTATGTAATTTGACTTCGTGTATAAAATTTCATAGATGGAGCACTTTGGGGAAAAAAAGAGAATCCATGCAGCTAAAGAAAGATGAGAGGGTATCATTTAAAAAAACAAAGAGTACTTAAGAAGCTTTTTTATCAAATATGTATAGATTGTGAATTACTTTATAGACTAGTACAATGTTTCTGTATGCCTGAAAGATACACCTGAAATGAATTATAGTGGTTTTTAATTTACTTTTTAAATTTTATTAAAGAAACAATGAGAGCCTTTCCCCTAAGAGCAAACAGTTAATTGTACTGTGTCATGACCTGCATTTTTCCTATTTATAAAATGTGTGTTCCTATATGTGTTTTGATTTCATTGAAACCTTGATTGAAGAGTTGTTAGCTTGATTAAAAAGATGATAGGGCATCTATCTGACTAGTAATCTAAATAGAAATTCCTGCCTAAATGTGACAGGAAACTTCTTGATCAAATGCCCAGACTAAAGGTAATGTAATTATTTGTCTTCCTGTTAAAAATGCCCTTTATAATTCAAGATGTTTGGATACTTGAATGCAGTGTTTAGGATTAATGAAACACTCAGTATTCCTAAAGCCTTAAACATCCATGAGGCTATAAATTTGGTTTGTTTGTTCTCCTAAAGACAGAGAAGTTTGACTATAGTATCAAAGTATAAAGTCTGAAAGATGAACTATTTTGCAAGAGCAAAATTAAAACTAGATCTACATTTCTTTTCTGAGATTTTTTTTTAAAATAGCAAATACATCAAATAAGAAAGGCAAACAGAGAGATCTGTGTGCTTAAGCAATAGAAAATTGAAGTGAATAGCTAAAAAATCTAAGGTCAGGTCTCTTGATGCTTGGAGAACTCAGCCCTTTTGCCAGTACATGTACAGTTTTGCTTTCATATAGTCAAGGTTGTTGGATTAATATGCCAGCAAATTTGGAAAACCAGCAGTAGCCACAGGATTGGAGAAGGTCAGTTTTCATTCAAATCCCAAAGAAAGGCAATGCCAAAGAATGTTCAAACTACTGCACATTGCACTCATCTCACATGCTAGCGAAGTAATTCTCAAAATTCTCCAAGACAGGCTTCAACAGTATGTGAACAAAGA